CAAATTGTAACAAAATAAATGAATAAATTTCGAAACTCTCCATATTGTAACAAAATAAATGAATAAATTAAATCTAATCAAAAGCTTTATGATATTATGTAATAATTAGCATATATAATTTTAAAGATCATTGTCTACGTTCCTGATTTAGTTCAACAGCGTCGCACATCTACCTTATAATGATAAACTTATTTTATATGTAAATATATACACCGATCATTGCCGAAATCAATAACTTAATCGAATCGGCCGAAAAATCATTTGGCAAATTTTTATCAGGTGTCCCAGAATTTATGAAAACAGCTGTAAATCGTTTAATATCACAAGAATTCGACAAGAAACTACCTGATGACCTTTTGCACGTTTAATATAGATATGTTGACTGATTTGATCCGAAAAAAAATACACTAGCAAAAAGGTCGGCCCGGTCGACCGGTCCGAACTTTTTTAGGATCGACCCCGACCACGATTTTTTCATCGACCCGTATCACTAGCCTGAGAGCTAGTTTTTTTAATGCTAATTTACGTTTAAATGATAGATTACATGAGATCCATTTAGCTAATATATGACATAATAAATATTGAACACTGTAAATCCGAATATTGATATCAAAAATACATAATTGATGTAATAAATTAAAATGGAATGTTATGTATAAAAAAATACAAATTTTTGGGACACATGGGTTTTAGGGCATTAAATAAATTTAATTTAATTTCATTTTAATCCGAGACAATGAATAAATAATAATAAAATCAAACGATTATTTTTGTGGGAATTTTTCGTTTATCAAATTCTCGGTATATTCCCAAAGTCTTTTAGCTAAATCCTCATCTTGGGCATATGTGGACGGTTCACATTCATTACCAAATGGTTCAAAATACTTTGCAGGATAATTTTTCTGTTCGATTTCTGGACTTGTAGCACAATATAAGGTAGTAATAGCACCATCATCAGGTGAAATTGAATTAGTATAGACAATTTCTGGCAAACTACGGTTTCTATTCAACATGTCGGTACTAACGACACCTAAATAAATATCAATAAAAAACATTATTAATTATTAATACAGTTGTT